GGAGTTCCCCGGCCTGTAGGTATGGTGCCGGTTGTTCGTCCCCAGGTGCAGCACCTTGCACTTGTCAGTGTTGAAACCCATCCTGTTCTCATCCGCCCACCCCTGTAACCTGTCTAGGTCCAGTTGCAGCCTGTTCCTCCCTTCTAGCATGCCCACATCCCCCCACATCTTGGTGTCATCAGCAAATTTGAACAGGGTGCTTTTTACCCCCTCATCCAAGTCACTGATGAAGATGTTGAACAGTGCGGGCCTGAGGACCGAGCCCTGGGGGACCCCACTGCCCACATCCCTCCAGGTCGAAAATGACCCATTCACCACCACTCTGGGTGTGGCCCTCCAGCCAGTTAGCGACCCATTTGACTGTGTAGGTGTTGACACCACAGTCCCCCAGTTTTTTGATGAGAATGGGGTGAGGGACAGTGTTGAAGGCCTTCCTAAAGTCCAGAAAGGCTACATCCACTGCTACCCCTGCATCTAAGGATTTGGTGACTTGGTCGTAGAAGGCCACCAGGTTGGACTGACAGGACCTGCTGCTAATGAACCCCTGTTGGTTGCCCCTAAGCATAACCTCCCCTGCTAGCCCCTCATGGACATGTCACAGGATAATTCTCTCAAAAAGCTTAGCCAGGATCAGGGTAAGACTAACTGGCTTATAGCTTCCTGGGTCCTCCTTCCTCCCTTTTTTGAAGATGGGAACCACGTTGGCCCTTTTCCAGTCCTCTGACACCACGCCAGAGCACCACGAGTGCTTGTAAAGCTGTGCCAGGGTCCCGCAATGACCTCTGCCAATTCCCTCAGCACTCTGGGGTAGAGATAATCCGGATCAGCTGATTTAAATACATCCAGTCCCTCCAGAAGTTCTGTAACTAGATCCTCACTGACCCTTGGCCTAGGTGCGCCCCCTTGACAGATCACTGTCCTGATTCAATTAGGCTGAATCCGAATCTGAAGATTCGATTCTGACTTGGAGAATCAGCGATTTGGCCATAGACACAGCTTTATGTTTTTTCTACATACCTCAAGGTACCAGGTGGGGCTTGTGAATGCTGAAATGCTGGGGCAGATGAAGCGTCCCACAGGAGTGCAGGGGCCCCCCCTGCATGCTCAGCGGCAAACCCAGAAGTGGACTGTAACTACTTCTAGTGTGCTGCTGGGTCTGCCACTGAGTGCACAAGGGACCCCCTGCATATCCCCCCGGGTAGGCAATCGGCCACAGGGGGACCCCGGGTACCCTCCCTGACCCAGGAGGCACCAGTCGCTAAGCTGGGAGGTGTCGGGGTTTCCCCTCATGCTCCACAGCAGACCCAAAAGCGGACACCCCCATGCTCCCTTGGGGCGCTCCATCCTCCCCACCATCTCAGCATTCACAAGCCGCGCGTGGTACCTTGAGGTACGTAGAAAAAACATATAAAGCTGTGTCTATGGCCAAATCATCAGATCTCTCCAAATTGATCGAGATGCTTCCAGTTCGATTCAGAGACATTAATGGGTCTCCTGGTTTGATTTGGATTCAGAGATTTGACCACCAAATTGGGCCAAATCTCCTCTGAATTGAATCAGTGACTGAAGCTTTGCACAGCCCTAGTGGGCAGCCACTATAACTGTACACTCCCTACTATGGAGTTAATTCATTATGGGGTAATTACTCCACAGTAATTCATCGCATCCTTACTGGGATTTTCCTGAGATGCACCTTAAGTGAGTGCTGTGTAGGCTATTCTAAATATCAGTGACAGAGCTATATCTAGAAAGCACTTGGCTAATGGCTGAGCTGAGAAAGGATGGCTTCTTGAGTTTTCACGCATTTTAACATAGCACTGTGGTGTCATGACAGGGGGAGGGGGCAGGGAGGAAGACCCTCACTGACTTTTTTCTCCTGATATTCTTCTTCAGGAACTGTTGGCCTTTTCAGAAGCAGAGAAAAAATGAAATATGCTGAGATATATTATCTGGAGAATGCCAAATGCTTGATTGTTGTTTGCATCTGCTGACTGCCCATTTTGAGGAGGAGATGGGTAATCCCCCCCAATGCAGAAAGGAACTTGACAGTCAGAAAAATCTTGTTGTGTGGGAATATGCTTCTGTAGATCACATGGCTTGTAAAGCAAAGAAAATAGTAAGATATTCTTTCTATAGACAGCTATCCATGGAAGATTGAAAGAGCTGGTAGAAAATGGAAGGTCACACAAACTCAGTAAGGACAGAAAAATATTACAAACAGATCAAGACAGGTTAGTAATGCCAGCAGCACGATATTACTGAATGAAATCACCTTGACACATACTGGCAGGATAAAATTCCTGGAGAAACTTCACCTGAAAATTCAAGGGGAGGTAATGTCTGTAAAGTATCAGAGAGAACTTTAAGTGAAGAGAACCAGGAATGATAGTGAACAACATAGAGGAGGTAACCATCAATTCCACGTAGGTATTTTTAACACACAGATTATCAGGATATCCAGACCTTTTCTCCTACATAGAATAGAGAGTTCTGTCCTAAGCAATTCAGCAACAGAAAGAATTTAACAAACTGGAAGAAATAAAAAAAACAAGGAAAAAATGATGAATGGTGGTAAGCAATTGCTTATAAGTGAGTATTGAAGGTAATATTGATATATTTCACCCTTGTTAAAGGACAGCAGGCAAGAGAGGAATGTCACAACAGTAGAAATGTTCAAAAGGTATTTGAAATATATAGTGTGCTTTTTATAAAAGCCTTTTAACTAGCAACAGAGACTTTGGACTGCATCCTACAAAGCTGGGTCCTACAATTGGTCTGACACTGTTGACGATGGTATTATGGATGGGAACAGTAGATGCATAGAGATACATGGGGATGCTATGCTGGAAGTATTCTGTCACACGGAGATTGCTCAGAAGACTGAAATTATAAACTACTCACTAGAATCTAAAAAAATCATCTTTGTGACCTTTTTTGTTCACTTTAAATAGCCATAAAGTCCTGCGACATTTCATAAATCTAGGCCCAACATTTCTGCTCATATTCTCTTTTTAGCTAGCATCACTTTTGAAATAGTAACTTCTGCCAAGTTCATTTAACAGCCATTCCCCTTGCGATATTTCTTCTGTTCTCTCCTACATCCTTGGCGAGAAAACACTTTCCCCTTTTTCCCACAATGCTTTGAAACCTCTTCTGAGTCAGGAAAATGCAGGGTGAAATCCAGATTCCACTGAAGAAGGTGGGAGGTTTGCCATTGACTTACTGGAGCCTGAATTCCACCCCTTGCATCTGCATTTGGAAAGACAGACGAATTAGGCTTTAGCAGAGTAGATTGTGTTAAGTGTTGTACACGCACATAGACACAGGCACAATAATAATTTCAGTGCCATTGAAGATGCATATACAAAAGTACTAGGTGAAAATGAACAAAATGATGATAAAACTGATATTATTTTCAAGTTCTCATGCTTAAGAAAAGGTTTTACAGATGATTGAGAGAAGTAAGAATTAGAAGTTGGACTGTTGAAAACCCCTTTTTGACATTTTCTCTTTAATTAGAAAGAATGAGACTAACCAAGAGGTATATCGACATTGATTTTTATAATAAGTTTTTAAAGCAAGCGTACCTGGTGTCACCCTACTGTTTTATAACATAGTGATAACCATTTATTCTGTTGTATAACAGTTCAGTAGTAGCCACATTTTATCATTTTTCTGTGTAATAATGAAGAGATGAAATCAATATCTATTATATGACATACCTTCAAGGTTAAAAAGTACTAAATCTTGATGCTAACATCTTTTCATATGTGCATTAATTTAAGAGCAATATAAATTCAGTACAAATACAGTTGGTACCTAAATGATCAGAACTAAATCCTAAATATAATAAAGAATTTAGCCATTCTGAAACCAGTATGCAGAATAGTGACAGTGACTAGTGTATATTAATAGATGATTAAAATTTGCTGGAAACCTAACTGTGAAAAACTTCAAAACTGGTTCATGAACCAATTATGTTTGGAGCATAAGGTGCAGCAGTCTTGCAGCTCTGGGTACAGCTTTCAATCCAATAGAAACTAATCTGGCCTGAAGGCCCCCTGCCAATTAGATGGCGTTATAAGGTCAAAATAAAAGTTTAGAGTCATTGTCCTTGCCTCTGTCACTCATAGTCATTTAACAAAAATTACGGAGTAGAGTTGTTTTAATAATGAAAAGCATCAAAACCGGGAAAGTGAAAATGGAAGTGTCAGAGCCATCACAAGACTCATCTGTAACTAGGTTATGGCTGAATTAGTTGAATGCCTGAGTAGGAAGCAGTATAACAATGTTGCAGCCTATTGCTGTATGCATTGCCAGTGCTTCAAGACAACTAGGAACATAAAAAAACCCAGCCCATCACTCCTTATTATGATTATATCCCAATGTAACATGATTGCCATGATAGTAAATGAAAAAAGAGGTCTCCTTCTGCCTCGCTTTTATTAAAGAAATTAAGCTTTTAGATTTCTGACGTAATACTACATGGCAGACATAAAGCCAAGTGATAGTTGGTGCTGATGTAACACACAACGCGAGTGTGCTTAATACATATTTCACACAGTACTAAAATGATAATGATTTCTATTCGTTACTGCTGTTTCACTGTACAGCAGTTAATTGTGTGTTGAGGTACTTATGAATATGCAATTATTCCTTCCTGACTGCGAACTGCCTGCCTATGAGAAACTGTTGCATCGAGTTAACTAAGCAGTAGCTGGAAACTCACCATGTTTAGCATACATTTTTAACATACAAAATACAGCTAGTGTTGCTAACGCTGGTGAAATTGCTTGTGTTTACTCGACAAAATTCTGCCCTTGGGTTATACTCATGGGAGCCAAGGGTTTTGCAACACTAGGAAAGAATTTGTGTTCTGCTCTTCGTAGTGAATGTCAACATTGCATTTTCCTTCCCAGTAAGCATCGGCCTAAATATTTTGGATGGTATGTATGCATGCACTTTGGGTATAAAAAACATAGTCTAGTATGTATTGTATTCAGGATATCATTTTATCCTTAACTTTTATTGCTGGAGATTAACAAGTAAACAGGGACCAGATACCACTGGCTGTTGGCACAGAGAGGGCTCTCAGCACGAATCCTGAAATGCTATCAAACCTGCCTTTGCATTTAGCTTCATAATGGTTCACAAAAACTTAGGGTTCCACCTGGAACCTGCAAATGTCGCCCTCTCTTACTTAAGTTAAACCCTGTTAAATAGATTTATTTGTATATTCTGCTGATACCACTTAAGTATGGTCCATCCTTCACTTGAAAAATGTCCCGGATACATTGAGTATTTGTGAAAATGTTTTGGAACAGCAATAGACCTTCCAAGAAGCCTGGTTTGAATTTTGTGAATAGAAACTTGCTGATGTTAAAAGACAAAACCTTTAAAAATTGTTTAGAGAACATTCTAAAAAAAAATCTTTTCCTTGGCAACGCCATTATCTTGAGGGATCTCCAGACCAGCCCATCAGAAAGTTTGGTAGATCTCTGGGACTCTGGGTAAGGCAGCAAATCTCTTTTGTCAGGAAGTTTTGAATAGACTCCTTTATTAGTTATTGGTTGAAGGCTGACAGCCACTGTTTGGCAACATAAAATCTAAATTACAAAAATGATTTATTCCTGTTGTTTGGATGCTGTTGCAGATATTGCAGTTTTGCTTAGCCCTACTCTAACCCAAGCATGAGCTTAACAAAATTCAAGTAAAAATAGCACAGGGTGCAAGCGATAGCGTAATTTAAAACAAATGGTTCAATTTTAAAAAATGACTTGATGAGGAAATAAGTGTTTATCTCCTAGATGAGTCTTGTATGCCAAGTGTAAGTCTGGAGAGACCTTGTAGGGGCAAATTACAAGGCCCTGGAAGTAGAGGAGTATAAGGAAGTGCTCATGCAGCCTTAGCAGTGTTGCAGATGGTACAATAGGAAAAAGGTCTCATTGCAGTGATCTAAAGCCACTGTGCTTTAAGGTAAACATTGTTTTTATGCCCTACAGATAAATCCCATTATAAAGATTTGATCAAGGCAAATACGCTCGCTTGAGGCTTTGGGCACATGTAAATTGCTTTGTTATATGTACGTATTTGCATATATTTGCAAGGAGACTGTCATCATGTAATGGTGCCTCTTGTTTTTGATGGCATGTTGAAATTAAAATAATTCTAATAATTTTCTGCTAATGAGGAAGAAAATCCATACCACAGATAAAATTCAGTTGTTAAGGAAGCTGTGCATTGGGTCTACTTTGGAAGCTGAACCCCTGAGTATTTTCATTTGCTCTTAGTATAATTAATGAAACAGTTGCTGGATAGGACTGGCTTCACTGTTTAGAAACTCTGACATTGTTATGCATACAGTATGTAAAATGCATAGCTTGCCAAATTATTGGATGCCTGTCTTTTGTTGCATTTGTCCAATTTTGTTTTCTTATATATCTCTCCACTTAGTTTCATGAATTAAATTGGATTAACTTCCTCTCTCTCCCAATTAATGCTGTTAACAATAATAATAAGCATAATGTGTGAACATCTGGCATTTAGCAGACAGTAGGCTTTTTGGAAATACCAGATATGAATCTATCAAAATCTGTCTCTATAGTGATTTCTTTTCCAGTGTTTCATATATTTGATAGCAAATTCTTTTCTTTCCTTTCTTGTTTCCCTTCATTTTCAAGGTTTATTAATTCTTTAGATGCCTGGGTTAGATAATTAAATACCCCTTTGTAATTAACGTGGTGCCTGTGGGTTTAAGACCTCTAGCTCATTAGGCAGTCTGCTGTCCTTCAAAGGTGTTTGAGGAAAATACGTCCATACCCATGAAAGATCTCTATGGCAAATTAAGGTCACTGCTGTCACTTTGACTAGCTGGCAGCGTAAGGTTTTTTATTAGTTACCACAAGAGTATGTAATTTCAGAAACAGCTTTTTGCATCCATGTTTTATGCAACCTATTGTTTAAAACTTTCTATGTACTTTAAAAACCAAATATGTTACCTTTGAGGACTATTTGTACATGCTGTCATTGTAGCGAAGAGTGAGATTTTACTAGGTTATCCTCGTTCTTGTTCGGATCTAATTGTTGTTCAAGCATCTTCCCCATGAGTGAAAGCAGGGCTAACGTTCACAATCCTTCTAACACGTTCCCTGAAAACTTTAGTGGGCAGCATTTGACCAGCTCCCTCAACTGCGTCACACAGCAAGAGCAAGTAGTATGTCAAGCTCCCAGTGAGTCTATCTTCCCTCAAAAGAGAGAGCTAGTTTTTCAGCTCTAGGTGAATAACGTGTACACTGGCATGACACCCTTATTTAGCTAATAATTATTTCCAGACACTTGTTCATCCCTCATCTGTCTACTTAGGTGTTCGTTGTGCCTCAGTATGTTTCTTCAATGGAGGGAGATTATTTTTATTGCTGAGGCGTTGGCTGGCAATGTGCATACCAGTTCAGTTCCTTCAGCCGTGCCACAGGCTTCCTTTTGTCATTTAGAGCAAATCACTAAATCTCTGCGGCTAAATACAGACAGTCAAAAGGCCCAAGGCTGAATTGATTCAGTGTTTGCAGGGTAGTCCAAACTGCACAGATTAAATTGAAACAGAAGTGAACAGACATTTACCTTTGATTCAGGAAATGCAGCCGCATGCCTGCAGTGGTTCAGGCCAGAAGCTGGAGGGCACTAGAGAACAACTCTCTGGCTGTGTTTCCTCTTCCTGCTGCTCCCAAGGTCTCTGGAATTTGCCATCCAGAATTACTGCAGCAGGACTCTGCAGGGTTGCTCATCACTTCCTCTTCCTGCTTCCAGGTGCCCCTGGGATTTCTAGCCCACAGTTGCAGTCCATGAGAAATTTGAGCAGGGGAAGGGGTGTTTAATGCCCCCCTTCCTGGCCCCAGACCCCAGCCAGGGTCTGCCTGGGTGGGGGAGTTGCAGTTCCCCCCTGTAGACTGGGCTGCATCCCTAGCCAGGTTTGTCCCCACCTCCCCAAGCTCCCTGACCCCCTTGTCAGGCAGCCCTCACAGCTCCAGCTAGGGGGCAATCCCTGCTTTCTGGAGCAGACACCACAGCCCAGCCCAGTCCAGGGCTGCAAAGCATGCTGGGATGCTGGGGGACTATAATTTAACTTGAACCAGAAAGGTCCTTGGGACAGAAATTTCATAAACTGGTTTGACCCAAATCAGTTGAGTCTGATAGTACATTCAACCAGGTTTATCTTAAACCAGTTTAAGCCATTTTGTGTGCCCTGAGCTTCTGTTCTGTTACAGGTTTAAACCAGTTTCTGATCACTTAAACCAGCTTATGTGCAACTTCTGTCCAGTGGTGATGCATCGGGGGGCACATGCACCCCTGAGAGCACCAGTTCACCCCCTGTTCAGTCACACTTGCCACTAAGGTGATGGGCAGATGGGAGCACCAGTGCCCGCCCCCTCTGCCCCACAAGTGCTGGCCGATTGCTACAGCCACTCTCAGAAGCAGCTGCAGCCACCAGCCACAGAGATCGACCATCACAGGATTGGCTGTGTGGGGGACCCCCCCCCGGTTGGTGGGGCTAGTCACAGGGCACATGGCCCCCTGACTAAGGTGACACCAGTAGCCCATGCTTTTATCCCTAGCTTGTATACCTCTTCTGTAAAATGGAGATAATACTGCACTTCCTCACCAGAGGTTGAGTTGCATGTCGGTATTGCAGTGGGTGAGTATCCTGGAAAAGTTTGTTTTATATTGTGCCAATGAATTCTAACATGGAAATCCTCAAATTTAATACAATTAAATCTGCTTATGTGTGAAAGAGGCAATCTAGTGTCAGTTTTAGGAAAAGCTTACATTCATGGCACAATTATTCTGCAGTGACTACAACTGTTATAAACATATCCAAACTAGTTTTGAACTAGCTAGTTTAAGCCCTTTTAGCACAGCAGCCTCAGTAGTATGAAGTTCAGCCTAGGCTAAACACTACCTGAATATTTTGCTGCCTGCACTGAGCTCTGGGCTATTGTTCACAGCACTCAAGCTAGCGCTTTAAAAAAAAAGCTTAGGTATGTCTGCATGAGCTACTGTAATTTCAGAGATGTATCCTTAGTTGAAGTCCTAGTTTCTCTCTTAGTTACAGCATAGGTTGCTAGGAAATAGCAAAAGTAATGCAAATGGGTCGCCCTAACAGTGGAGGAACTAGAGGTAGAAAGTAAGATTTGAAAACTGACTTAATCAGCACGAAGTGGGCAAGGGCAGCAGGCATGTTAGGTATGTCAAAATGATCAATCCCTCCTGCCCCTCTTTCATAAATCTGTCCATTGAGCATAGTGGGAAGAATTAAGATGTTAAATTAGATGGAGAGCAAATCCAGGACATCTAAAGCAAAGCCAAGTTCAAACATGTTTTAAAAAGGTATAGAAGGGCAATTAATTTACTTGCAAGGCAGATGCCAGCTCGTGAGAAGTAGAATACATTATCTACTCTCCAAGAAGTGATCTTCAAGAGCTTTTCTTCCCCACGGAGAGATAACAGGCAATACCCAACTGCTATTCCATTGGCTAGGCACTAGTTTTGGTAGGAGTGAACTTTAGAAAAGTTTCAAGTTACAAAACCGTACCAGCATGTGGTGTGGGGGAAGGGTGTCAACACGGATCTGCCAAGTGGAGCGTGCTACAGGGCAGATTGCTGAGCAGACAAGACAACGAGCTTGAAAACCCAAGTAGACTGATAAGTGCACCATCTCCCCCAGGAAAATCAGAGCAGCAAAGAGCATATATAACTATAATAAACTGGTTTATTAAGGGGGAGGGTGGGGCAGGAAATGTCTCTGAACTATTTTGCTGCATTAGTATGTAATTGCATGAGATGAAGGCCTGAACTGAAACTCCAGATCAAATATTTATAACATTGTGTCCAGCTGAATGTTGAACTCCTTTAGAGAAGTAAAATGGCAAAACTCCCATTGACTTAAATGGATCCTGGGTTCCACTCATTCTGTTACAATGGGTAAGGGTTAGCAAAACACTATGGAGCTATTAAAAGAATAGAGTTTCCTGCCAGCCCCCAAGGACCCCCTGCCAGCCAGGACTGCTCTGACCACAGCTCAGCATGCTGGGGTCCTGGGTGCATGTTCAAATGGTGCACCTGGGAGCAATAAACTCTGGAGCAAGAAGTTCTGGAGGTCATAGCTTTGTGTTAATTGCATGTTTAGATGCGCCCCTTGATGATTTTCCTCTAGGTCTTACCTTGCCAGTAATTTTCCACTTTGCCAGCTGAATGAATGCCTATAGGCAGAACATTCCTGGCAGTTGAAAGGTTAATGGTTGAAAAATGTAGAGACGTCTATGTAATTTTATGCAGTGAAGCTCAGTGGTCTTCATTGCTAGCTCTTTTATATAAAACAAATCCAACAAAACGTGAGTGCATGCTGCTCGTGAACACCTAAGCAGGAAGGGAGGAGAGTACAGTAAAGAGGGCTAATTTGCTCCATTTCCAGAATTCCAAATATCTGAAGATATCAAAGAACTTTCAGTTATAATGAAGTGAGTCTAAAGAATCCTTATCAGATTAAACATCACTAGGTTACAAATAAATAACTGTGTCAGGGGCCAAGTCAGCAGGCTAACCAAATTGCCCCAAGCTGGTCCTGCTTACCTGTGTTGGCCTGGTTGTCCATAGCTTAACTCCCCACACCTGGCCCCAGTTGCCTGCTGAGTGTTGTTGACCCCTCTAAAGAAATTAAAAGCTTGTTAACATTTGAGAGAACTGAAAATTAATTTATTTAAGTCCTAATGTCTCCAAAAGCCTCTAATGGGTGGCAAGCCTGTTAGGAAAAAGGACTTCCCATTGAGGCTTCAAATTCAGTTTTAAAAGAATGCTTATCTTAGTTTATCTGGAGATGGGCTGTTCAGCAGGAATTGTATTTCAAGGCTGAAGGGCAAAGATTATGAGATGAATCCAAAATGTTACACTCTATTGCCTGACGCATTATTAAAAAATTAACTAAATAAGGTAAAAAAAAAAATGTAAAGGAGTTTCTGTTACTCTAGTTAATGTTCATATGCTTTTTTTAAATTCCATACCTGAGCTATATCTTGTCTAAAACTAGCCTGGTCTAGCATCTAGACAACTTTTTGCCCAGTTTTTTTCCATTCCACTTTTCTTGAATTTTCAAAGATGGCTCACGCCTTGTGATGTCCTGATCATTTCTTTTGCCTCTTCTTTTCTTACCCAAACAAGTGAATGTAAGCAAATACTATACTGTATTACCATTAAGCATCTGAGGGCCTACTACTATAGTCTACAGTGTGGCTGCCTGCTTTTCAGAAGCAGCCCTTACAGTGCCCAGCGGGCTACTCAACAAGACAGATACCTCCTTTTTAGCCCTGGGCTTTTTACTCCCTGTTTCTGGTTTCCTGGGTCCTGCTTTCCAGCTGCACCCTGGTTCCTTCTTTCTTCTTACTATTTCAGACTTGAACCTGGACCCTTTTGCTTCCAGACTGACTTGCTGGGTCCTTGACCCCTTGTGCTTTTGGACATCTGTCATTTGACAGTCAGCTCCTGGCTTGTGGCTTAGCTAGGTGATTGCCTAAGTCCTGGTCTTGTACAGCTAAAGAGACTAGTCTGGATCCCTCCCCACACTGTTTCAAACCCCACGTCACCCCATGGTTCTAACCAGGGTGACCATCTACGTCCCAGTTCCTTATAGACCTTGGCCTTCGAAATCCCGGCTCTAGTTTGGACCCTTGGTGCTTTACTGACCTTTCCTGTTCCTGTTCTTCTGGAATCCTTTTGGATCAAGCCCCAAACACCTGCATCTCAGTTGTGCCCTGATTATTGAAACACAGAAAGGTGAAGTTACTATTCAAGTTTGGGCAAAAAGTCTTAAGGCAAAGCTGGGAGTATACTTCAGGTGTCCTGATGTCCAAATTCGGGGTCTAACCACAAGATATTCTTCTTTTTTTTTTGTTTTTTAAGCTCATCATATTATAAACCAGGGGCTGTCTTCATCTTTGCACCCTGTATTGTCAGCACTAAACAGATAAATAATAATCTTCTGACAGATTGATAGTTGCACAGCACAAAAAAATTATTTTAGGAAAAATTGTGCCACAGAAAAATACAGGTTCCATGTCGGCATGCCAATTATGGGATAACTACCTTTGAAGAGGAAAGAAAAGCCCATTGTTCTAGGAGATTTTCAGAAAATTATACACTGAAAGAGGGCAACTTCCATTCCAGATGGGCAACTCTCATTATTTTAAAGAACACAGAAAGGATCCTATCATTGTCTAAATTGCAAAAGGAATTGGTTTCTCCCATCTCTCTTTACCCACCTGAGCTGCTATAGGTTTTTCTGAAGTTATTGATGGTATTTGAGTTCTTTAAATATAAAAGTAGATTTCAATTTGGAGAAGCCATTTCAGCGTAATTTATTATTTATATAGCATTGCTATTATTGTGCATTGTACATTACAGACATTCAGAACAATAAGGCCCTTGGGCCTGATGGAGCTTTCTATCTAAACTGGCTAAAAAACGAGTAACAGCTGATGGTGGGGAGAGGGACCAAAGGATGAAAAGACAACAACCAACAATAAAATGAGGATTTAAGTACTGAGAAAGGGACTGCACCCATTCAAGCAAATGAAAGATGAGGTGGGACATTTTTGTGGAGAAAAATATCATAAATATCTTGTAAAAAATAAGCTTTTAATGAAAAATTGTCAACAATAGGGAGTATTTCCATTGTTTTGTACAATTTGTCTGACATCCTTTGTCAATAACTATTAGCAGGCTTGACAGCATTATTAAAAAGTCAGTTTTCCGATAAGAGAACAGGCATTTTTGGTCAAAATCTTCATGAGAACTAGGAAAAGGTCTATTTTAAACACACAACAACTAAAACTACTTTGAAGTATTAAAAAAATGCAATTAGTTTTCTATTTATGACTAACTGCAACAGGGATTTTGGCTTGTCTACAATGGTAAGATTTCTAAAAGTAATTCAGACTTATGTCTCTTTATATGCAATTTGTATCAGTTTGACAATATTGGTTAAGGATATGATATTTCCCATTGAAAGGCAATTAGATTTGAGTTCTTAAGTCACTTAGATGCTTTTAGAGATGTTAGTAATGCTGGGTGCTGCATGCAAGCTATCATGACAAGCTAGTTGAACAAAGCGATTCTCGAGGGGGGTGTCTAGAAAAAGATAACAAGGCCACTTGGGATGACACGAGAAAATGAAAATTGTCTCGGGCACAGAGAAATGGTGTGAAAAGAGGCATGAAAACGAAGGTGCACGGAGGATAGGACTCAAAGGAATGAGAGAAGTGGGAGGACCCAGGAGGCAGCAAGAGCTGGCAGTCAGGCAGGGGTAGCTGTCACAGACTAAAGGCCTTGCAATGACCCCTGCAAAGAAACACATTACAGAGATGTACCCTTTGTTTCTGACTGTGCTATGAGTTATACATGAAACCATTTTCAAATATGAAGTTTTAATGAGTTGGTTATTCGCCTTTGCCACTTCCAGAGGCTGTTCTATAGCTTTCATTAGAAGTTGTGCTGTCAGTGCTAAGAGGTGTTGGACATCTCTAGCTATTATAGTGGGGTTTTTTTAATGGAAAAAGTCTGCAATGCAAATAGAAATGGACTTTACAACAACCAAGGGGGAAGCTGGTAGCTGAAAATTGAATCAAAATGTACTGAATCAAAGTTACTTGTGGACATTAGCTTGAAAAGCTGGCAAAAATAATTCACACTGGCACTATTCAGGCTGCACGTTCTACAGCGTCTATCTCTGGCTGCTATTTCTTTCAAAATTAAGACATGTTTTCCACGTGTAGAGTGAGTGGGATGAGGAAAAAGGCAATGTGGATCTGCCACCAATATCTTATTCATATAAATCAGTGAAAATGGCATGTTATGATCCTATGATTGTATTAAAATTGCCTCGCTTAAATGAAGGTTTCTCTTTTTTATGTGAATAGAGTTTACCCACCTGTTTTACAGTTGCATTTAAAAAATAAAATTGTGGGCTTTAAACTGTATCATGTCTGATGAAAGATTTTAAGGCTATGTGGCATTTCATGGTCAAAATGGAAACAAGTGAAGGAAGCTCAGCAATATATAGAAGAAACCAAACAACAACTGCGGACCAGAATGAACACACACCGAAAATCCATCAAAGACAAAAAATATCCAATTACCTGCGGGTGCCCACTTCTCACAAGACAAGCACCCCGTCTCCGATTTCTCAGTTCTAATCCTCAAAGGGAATTTACAAAACACCTTTTGTAGACGAGCCTATGAACTTCACTTCACAAATCTACTGGATACGGATACAAAAATAAATAAATAAATCATGGACTTACCAGAGACATTAGATTTATGACACATTACAACCTGCCTGAGATCTGATACCCCAGGTAACTTGCCCCCAGCTGATCACTTGCATTCCTTCCCACTTTTCCCCCTCCCCCTCCTATCTGTATCCATTGTATTCCTAACTTCCACTCAGTTGCATTTTCATAGACATGCGTGTTCTAAATTAGCTTCTTTTCTACCTTGGAGAACACACACAACACCAGCTGCAGCACTAGGCGCGTTGAAAAGTGCCAGGTGCTGCGACACTTGCAGTTGTATAAGTGGCGAAACGCACATCAACGCTGAGAAAATGGCAGTGGCATGCTTTTGAGCTAAAACACATAGACGGTGCTTTAGTTCAAAAGTACACCGCTGCCGTTTTCTACACACTGGCACGCTTTTTTGCACTTATACAACTGCACGTGGTGCAGCGCAGTTTGCATCAGCTCAGGTAATTAATTGGGCCTGCTCCAAAGTGGCAGATCTCTGGCGCATTGTGGGACAAAAAAGCATGTGTATAAATGCCCCGTATGCCTGATGAAGGATGTTTGTGCCTGAAAACTTACAAAGAACTGTTTTCCAATTATTTAGTTGGTCTAATAAAAGATATCACATCTACCCAAAGAACATTGCTTACCTTTATGTGTCCAAATATTTAGTTGCTAAAGAATTCCAGGCCTGTAAGAATTAATGTCTTTATACTTTGGGAGTCATTCTTTTGTATCTTCTAGTAGGATCTCTTGTGTTGCTTAATTACCAAGACTTAGCACCAAATATCTTTTAGCTTACTAGCACTGGAGTTGTATTGTAGCCATGATGGTCTAGGAAAAATATGAGAGGCAAGGATTTCTTAGGGTGATATCTTTTACTGGGCCAGCTGTAGAGTTGGGAGGGACATAGCCAAGCTTTCTGCAGACCTGAGTTTTGCACAGGCCTTTGCTTCATCTGCTGTTTACCTCTGCTGTGTCTGTCTTTTTTTTCTCAGAGACCTGAAGAAGAGTACGTGGTGCCTGAAACCTTGTCTGTCCTTTTGTTCCAAAAAACATATCACCCACAAACATCTTGGCCTCTCTTAGATTATTGGAGATTTACAAAATCAGGTAGTCATGACTATCATCACTATATGGGGAGGCTGAGGCACAGAAAGGTTCAGTGACTTGCTTAAGATTGTGCTGAGTTCTTAGCAGAATAGTGAGTAGAATCATAACTCAGGTGTGCAACTGTTTTCAGTGGTCTGAGAGGTTGTGCTATCATTTGGTAGAAATTCACTTTTCTGCATTTTTTGGTAGGCTGATGCAAGTCGAGAACATATTATTTGGGAGAGATATCTTAGGAGATGGATGTGTTAAAAATGGTGTG